GATGCTGGTAGGGAACATACTCTCAGTGAAAGTTCCTTTAAAAGAATATGGAGAAAGTATGTTCCCCACATTTACAGCATCAAGCCAATGACAGACTTATGCTGGAAGTGCAAGAACAGCACTGCAATTTTAAGGAATGCTGGGTGTGAGATTGAGCGTCAGTCTGAGGTACATCTATTATTATTAACAATGTAATTATTGTTGCCTGTAAAATGCTATCCCTTAATAAGTAACTTTGTCATTAGTTAACTTATTTTCATATTACTTTCAAGAATAATGATAGTACATGAACATACAGTACCATTCCTTCATGTGTTAGTAGTATCTAACGGTATTTAAAAGATGTTAATGTGTATTGTGTTCTTATTATTAGTATAACTTACCTAAATAGTGTAGCATAGAGTCCTTTACTGTTTTTCAGTTGTGTTGCTCGATGCTTTAGGAGTGTCTAATTGTAAACAAGAAATGGTAATGTGTATTGCGTACAAATTATTAGTATAACTTACCTTAATAGTGTAGCATAGTGTCGTTATTCAGTTGTTTTGCTTGATGTGTTAGGAGTATCTAAAATGTTTATGTTTTCATAGGCAATAGCAGCTGCAAAGGAGCATATTGATCTTGTAAGGCAGGGGAGAGATTACTTGACGGAAGTGTTGAAGAGGACTAAAGATGCCATCAAAAAGCTGGACTTAACCATCTAAAAGCCATTGAACCAAGTGGAGGTCAAAGTTCACTATAGCTTTGACTATGTGCAACAAGTAAGTCATTTAGTATCAATAAGTTAATCTCAACACAAATGAAAATTAAGGTAAGTTATTCTAATAATAAGTACACTATGCACATTAACATCTTTTAATTACAATTAGATACTACTAACATATTAAGCAAAACAACTGCGTAACAATAAAGTACACTATGCTACACTATCAAGGTAAAATATTCAAATAATAAGAACACAATACACATTAATATCTTTTAAATACAATTAGACATTACTAACGCAACAAGCAACACAACTGTGTGACAGTAAAGGACACTATGCTACACTATTAAGGTAAGTTATACTAATAATAAGAACAGAATACACTTTACCATCCTTTAAATACAATTAAATACATGGTTGCTTGATTAAAATCAATTGATTTAAATCTATGATTTAAATCATACAATATAAATCATAATATAAATCAAGGGCTATAAAATGATGTATATATTATCACTATCTCACTTTTGTACAATGTTTTAAGTATTACACAACTTCTAATTATGAGTTGAAAAAATTTTTTGCATTGATCATTGCACCATATACCTGGTTGTGCAATAATCTATTTTACCATGCCTGGTTGTGCATTGTATGTAGCATAGTATAACATCGTCTTGGCACAGAAAAGACAGCAAAACTGGTTTTTTTATACAAACACATGAGCATTACTTTACATAATTTATTCCTCTTTTATTATTAACATTCACTTAAGTTATTAGTGATTAAAAAAATCTGATTTAAATCTAAAAATCTGATATAAATCAAAAAAATCTGATTTTTTGATTTTTTGCAAAAAATCTGATTTTTTCTCAACTCTGATTAGATATTACTGACACAACATGCAACACAACTGAATAACAGTAAAGGACACTAAGCTGCACTATTAAGGTAAGATATTCTAATAATAAGTGCACAATATACATTATAAAATTTCTTGTATACAATTAGATACTCCTAACACATCAAGCAATACAACTGAATAACAGTAAAGGACACTATGCTATACTACTAAGATAGTGTAGACACAAACTCTTACCACAACAAGTGATGTACTGTGCTACAAGGAATGAAGACAAAATATCTAATGTATTCTCAAACCTTTTATGATGTTGAGGGATCATTCATAACATTCTTTACCTGCAAAAATCTTGACAATAATTATCATGATAAATATAATCTTTTCAATATAAATTTAAGAAACTGTTTTAAATGTTCTGTCTTTGCTTTTCTAGGTCTGTGGCACCATGTCCTAACAAGTAGAAATTGAAGGAAAATCTGTTTTGTAAGCGCTCCATAGTCTACCTTTGTTCTCAGAGGCTAAGAGGGAACACACCATAACTGGAATGGTAACTGGCTCTTCCTTAGTTGGCTTGATGTCTAGGGGAAAGAGAGAATGAGTAACACACTATTGACAACCTAAATATTGAGCGCTCAATATGCTATGCACATTTTTATCGAGCGCGTACAAAATAGAATGCTCCAGCCACTCTAACTGTATCACACTTACTGTAAAGCTTACCTTTGTCTTTATCCTAAACAATGATGGAACAAGAGTTTTATGTAGCAACACCATCAAGCAACTTTTTCTCTATTTTAAACTTGTATTGTCATGTGATCAGTCGTGTGATGTCATTTGTAATACGAAAAGTAAACGGAAACATTAAAAATTGGTTTTACAGCAATTTCTCCACTTCTTGCTTGGAAGAACGATATACGAAGGCTCATAACTCGAGATAGGAAAGCCACATTGACGCGCAACAAGCACCAATCGATAGAGACTTGTAAGAGCAATTTTTTGATATGATAAAATAATTTTTCAAGTTTTTTGTCTTAATTCAAATGCCAGTACTGTTTCATGATAGTGGTGCATATGCTTATTCATATCAATTTATTACTATTTTAACATTATCATTTTGTTTAGCTATTGATGCTACCCTTGCTGTTTCTCCTACACAAAAAGTTGAAGTGTATATGCTGATAAGGATCTTAGTGTATAGATTGCTTCTTCTGTTATTGTTATCATTATTTCTTGATTTATTTGTTCATTAATTTTTTATAAATGTGTTACTGGCACTAGATTAATGGTGGATCTGTATTTTAAGTTTGAAAACTGCTTATGGTATTTGTTCATTGATTATTGTTTTA